TTAATATCCTCCAATGATTCACCACTACTATTATAACTAAGTTCTAATATTTACTATTGCCTTTAAAATCACTAATTATTTGGTCAGCATTGTTTCCTAAGCACATAATATGACTTTGATCTAGGTGCTGACAGTGGTCGGCAAACTCATTAATCAACAGAGCCAAATATCAACAGTACAACGATTGAAATTTCTTTTGAGAGCCAAATTTTTTAAACTTAAACTATATAGGTAGGTACATTGTTATTAACTTAATTAGGATACTCCTAAGGCTTAGGAAGAGCCACACCCAAGGGACCAAAAAGCCACATGTGGCTTGTAAGCCACAGTTTGCTGACCACTGGTCTAGGATATTACCTTCTACTTAGCTTAATGCATTCAGCTTAATTTCAAGACTTAGCTGAAACATTTTCTCCCCTGAGAATCCCATCCCACAGTCTTATCAAAGGGTTCTTATTGTATGCTCCTTAGGACCGGCACATACCTATGAGATTCACTCATTCATTCAGAAAAATATATGGACTGTTTACTATGTGCCAGACACTTGACAGGAAAATTAAAAAAACAAAACAAAACAACCTATTCTGACCTACATAAAAAATGACACTTTCGTGGTCAGAACTAATAGGTCAAAATTATTTCCCTCATGCAAGTTACATTCTTGGAGAAAAGGCAGCAGGGAGCAAAATGAGTAAGTAAAACATATCTGTTACTAAATGCTGATAAATGTTACAGGAAACTAAAACAAGAAAGGAGGATAGAAAGTTCTGGGTTAGAAGGGAAGATGTCTAAGCAAGAAGAGATATTTGTAGAAGTATCTAAGGTATACAGTGAACAAGCCATGGAGATATCTAGGGGAAAACTCAAAAGCCTTAATGGGAGATCTGTCATGATTGAGGAAAGCAAAGGAAGCTAGTGTATGGACAGAGTAACGTTAGTGTGGAGCAAAGTAGTAAGAAATGAGGTCAGAGAGATAAAGAGGATTCTATTTTTATAGGAATATATTGGGGCCCTTGTAAAACTTGGCCTTTTACTCTGAATGAGATGGGAAGCCACTGGAGGAGGAAAGCAAAAGAGCGATAGGACTTGATGTTCATTTTAACAGGAACATTTCATTGCTGCGTAGAGGACATACTTAAGGAGTAAGGAACAAGACATTAGTAGGCTACTAGAGCACTCATCTAGGCAAGAAATGAAGGAAGCTTGGAGCAGAGTGGTAATGGTGGGGTTATAAAAATGGTTGGTGTTGGATATATTTTTAAGGTAGATCCACAAGGATTTCATGACCAATTGAACATGGAGTATGAAAGAAAGAGGAAAAAAATAGTGTTGAGGCATTGGGCTTGGGCAAGTGATGGAAAGACTTTTGGAGTAGCAGGTAGGGGTGTGTGTGTGTGTGTGTGTGTGTGTGTGTGTGTGTGTGTGTGTGTTTATATAATATCAGACATGTTACATTTGAGATGCCTCTTCGATATCTTAGTGGAAACATCCAGTGGGCAGGTGAATTAATGATGTGGAAGTCTGGAAGTAATGAGGTAAAATCTTCAGCATCTAAGTGACATTTATAACCACGAGACTAGATGTCATCACCAAAAGAACTGAGTGTAGACAGAGAATTGAAAATATCTATTGATGGAATCTGGAACTCTCCAACATTAAGTGAGAAAGTTGGATGAGGATAAGGAGAAATCAGCCAGGAGACAGAAGGAGTTGTCAACCAGATAGAAGGAAAAGTGAGATAGAAGCCAAGTGAAAAAAAGTGTTAGGAGGAGGAGAAATGATCAACTGTGCCAAATTCTGCTGATAGGTGATGCATGTTGAGGACTGGAACTGACTGTTGGATTTGGCATCCTGGTGCCTTTAGTGATGTTGACGAGAGCAGTTATGGGAGAGGAGTGGGAATCAAAGCTTCATTATAGTGAATTCAAGAGAGAATAGACATAGAGTGTAAGTGGGCAACCATCCTACTTACACCTAAGGGATCCTTTTCATTCTAAAAGTGTTTCAGTTTGGATGTTAACTTACATACTAATCCTAACTATATAGAAGAAAAAAACTTTCAAGGAGCATTGCTGGAAAACATAGCTGAGGAACTGTGGTCAGCAAAGATTTTGTTTTTAAACGTAAGAAACAATACAGATTACTTGTTTGCTGGTGAAAATTATGCAGCATGGAGACATAAATTGGTGATATGGGGGATAAAGAGGAGCATTTGAGAACATCTTTGAAAAGACAAGAGGGGATAGAACGTTGAGGGCTTGACCTTATGAGCGCAGCCTCCCTAACTTTTCTAATGGGAGGGAAGGCAGAGTACATGTTGCATTTCTCACAATGTATTTCATTGCTGATTTATTTGTTTGTTTTCCCACATATTGTGAACCTCTTATGAGCAGTAAGAGTAAATGTCTTATTCATTTTGTGGTAAGGATTTTTATTGTTTTATTTCTATTCTCTACTACAATCCTGACACACAGCATGCATGCAATACATGTTTGAATGAACAAATGAAGACACTGTGCTAAGCGTGTGTATGTTTTATCTTCTCACTCAGATTGGATCATTTCCATAAAATCTTGAAAACCAGCTTAATTTAATTGTGTCTCTCCTGTCTTGGTCTACAGATAGCTTGACTAACTGGTAGGACTGATTAATAGGAGTGGCTGTTTCTACCAAAATCAATGCTGCTTCCTAGGAGTGAAATTAGTGTCCTTTTGCTGCACCATTTTGCAGTGGTCCTGGTTATGCTTTTAAACTTGAATCTTCTGAAAGATATCCATTCTCCTGAGTATCCATTTGTCATTTATAGTTTACCATTCACATAGTATTTATCATTGTCTTTTATTATCTAACTTACCTAATAAATGGAAAACTCTCTGAGAATGGAGATTACATTGCTTCTCTCCATGCCCCCTCCCCCCAATAATGCTTTGTGCCACCTTTAATTAGGGAACATGTCTGATTCACTACCAAGTGAAAAATGCTTAGTCCGGGCCTGTTGCAAAGCAGATGTCAAATAAATGTTTGCTGAATGAATGAATGCATGAGTAAATGATTACTGTGTGTGGTGTATGCTGCTGGTACTCAGGCATCTTCTTTCCTATTTGGTGCACCTATACCCCAGCTCTCACTGCTTTGCTCTTAATAGGTTGTCCCTGAAATCTTCTTCAAAGGACTATACTCGGGCCAGTCCATGGATGCCTTCCCCTTGGTAATCAGTAGCCAATGACTGAGGTGCAGGAGTTTGGGAATCTAGCTGTCGTGCCTCAAGGCAGTGCAAGCTCACCGGGACATGTTATACTCCAGGGCTCCCTGTGGGATCAGGCTCCCAGGACTTCAGCTGAAATTGCACTTTGCTTGACTCATTATTCTTCCTTATCTTGCTTCCCAGGGCTCCCTTGTAGGTTTCTCCTGAGAACACCTCCTTAGTAGATCACTTGTACACTCATCCTTTCCTTGGGGTCTGCTTCTTGGGAACTTATACGTAACACATTGCCTGTTTATAAGCAGTGATGTCAGGGGCAGGGGATGATAACAACTTTCTCTCGAAGAGTGTCACATTTTGCAGTGGTATGCGGTGTCTACACCACCAACCCAAACTGTAGGTGACTGTCAACTAAATTTGATATTCGATTTGGTTGGTGGGTGGGAATTTCAGTAAATAAATTTACTGAATTTAGTAGATATCTTATTGAATTACAGGACTTTCTAACATAAAGCAGAATGTATTTTTTTTTAAACTTTCTACTCTTTTTGATTAAACACATCTCTGACATATGTTCTCTCCCCTTAAGCCAGGATAGTAAAGAGTTGATTGTCTAATCAATTTTTATACGATTGAGTACAGCTTTTTTTTGGTCTTTGTGTTGAATATAAATATCCATTTTCACAAACCGAGTAAACCATTTATTTTTTCAGTGATTTGAAAAGAACACAAACTCCTTTATCTGTAAAATGTGATTGGAAGTAATCTGTTTTAGAACTGAAAAGAGCTTTAGTAACCAGCTGGTGGCCAACACTTTTATTTTATAAATGAGACCACTTGAGACCCAAAGAGGTTAAGTACTTTGTTCAATATCACTCGGTTTGGTCAGTAACAGAGCAGGACTACCAGCCAACTCCCAGGCTGCTGTGCTCGTCACAGCTCCACAGAATACATATTTATTATTCACAGAATTGATATGAGGATTAGGGACCACATCTGTGAAAAATAGATTTAGCCTTTGGAAAGAAAGATGCTGGGTAGCTTTATAAAAGCTTTATGAAAACTAATCTCATTTTAACCTTTTCTGTATAGTTGTTAGTTTTGTTCAGTTTTATGTTATTTGCCTCAGGCTCCTTTTTGGCCAAGGACTAGATAATATACAATGCTTGATTTAAAAATCAATATTAAGTATCCGGACTGTGTTAGAAATATGAATTACCTCAGCTGGTTTCGAAGCCTGGAGCAGTTGAAGACGGCTTTCCAGAATGGCAATCATTTATGGACATGAAACATTTTCTATTCCTACTTTGCATATTGGGAATAAGGACAGTTAGTTCCAAAGAAAAGAAGGAAGTGTAACATATATTTCTGTTCGGCTCGGTAATGCTTTCCTAGCTGGATGCAATGTGTCTTTAACAAACCATGAATTTTCTCTCCTGCTGAGCCACCATATCCTGCCTACTTTCAGCATAGTCAGAGAACCATTATCCTAATCCGCTGTACCTTCCTATCTCTAGCAAGCACATGTAAGTGATAACTTTGAATACTTATTTTGATGCAAGCTGTATAAATCTTCTCTATGTCTTCTTGTAAAGCGAGGAAATTGTGACTTGCTCAACTTGGTTACTTTAATTGCTTGAGTTTGGTTCATTCAGCCACAGCATGCTTTGATATATGAACAAGAATGCTGTTTAATTTCTGTAGGAAGCGAAGTGATTTGTGTAGATTCATATATGCAGGCAAGATAAAATTTGAGTACCAAAAGGCTAAAGTAACTTTTATATATATTTTTAATTAGGTACGATTATACGCACGACCCGACGCTATCAGAAGAGGATCCGGGGACTATGCTCTCCATATAACAAAGAGATTAATAGAGTTTTATGAAGACTACTTTAAAGTGCCCTACTCCTTGCCCAAACTAGGTAAGAATTGTCTTGGTTATTTTACTGGAAGGGGTCCAAGAAGGTGGAATTTCTTCTTCATGCATTTATTCGAGACATTCAGAAGCACGGAAATTCCAAGGGTTATATATTTTAAAGACGATAAGCATGAAAATAGTTTTTTTCTGAAGAGTTAAAATAAAATTTAGTGTTTCTAGAGTCTTGCCAAAAAGTGCTCATAGGAATTAAGAATGGCATTATCTAAGTTTCGGATTCCAGAAAATAACCCCATAGCTATAGTTTGTTGAATACATACTGGGAAGGGGTACTTGTCAGCATCTCATTTAATCCGCACAGCTGCTATGTGGGTAGGTTACTGTTACATTTTCCACCAAAGGGAATTGAGACCCAGGAGCCTTCCATTCATTCAGACAGCCAATAAGTAAAGAAGCTGGGATTTCAAGGTAGGTCTTTATGATTTCCAGGCCTATTCAATATTGTCTGCTCATTGCTTTGTTTCTTTCCTAATCCCAGATGTCAGATCTCAGTGTATTCGTTGTCCCTTAGGTTATTTTTGTGTAGTCACATTTCAAGTAAGTCATGGTAAATGGGATAAAATCAAGAGAGAAGGGGAATTTTAACGGTGGAGGTTGTGTTCATGATGAATATGCTTGCATTTCCTTCTTTTACAAAGAGATATGTTGGATAATTTTTTGTTGAATGAATAAATGGATGGATTTTGTTATTCTAATTTAAATGAAGTTGCTGCTTTTTATTTTTTATTTTTTAAGGATTCTCCTACTCTCTGGTATACCAGCTTTTCTTTCTTTCTTTTTTTTTTAAATCCTCACCTGAGGATATTTTTTCCATTAATTTTCAGACAGAGTGGAAGGGAGGAGGTCAGAGGTGAGAGAGAGAGAGAGAGAGAGAGAGAGAGAGAGAGAGAGAAACATTTATGTGAGAGAGCCTCCCACACGCGCCCAGTCTAAGCTGGGGATGGAAACCACAACTGAGGTACGGTGCCCGTAACCAGGAATTGAACCCGCGACGCTCTAACCCACTGAGCCAAACCCGTCCGGGCTGAAGTTGCTGCTTTTACAGGGGAACGGACTCTGACTTTCCCGGGAATTAGAAAAGGCTTGTCACCCATTAAAAATGCTGAAGTTATGCTTTTGTTCTCAGAAAACCTGTTTTGAAAGATTACATCACTATCCTCCTTTATTCCCCTTTCCTTCCCCCATCCTTTTTCCTTCCCCAGAGCATTTTTGATCTGCGTCCACATAAAAGTGATTGCTTGTTGGCAAGAATAAAGTACTTATCTGATCAAAAATGTTAGCATTTGAACCACAGGCTCTCCTCTCAGGAGAGCTGGGCCTATTTCATTAAAGCACCTGCCTGCTGAGTAGCTTTATTGGTCTTACAATGTGTAGTTCAGAGAGTAGATGGAATAGTTGATATTGGGATCAATGGGTGTGGCATATAATTTTAATAAGTGATGTTTATGAAATTCTGAGGACTTTTTAAAATATATGCTCTTAGAATCCATAATATATGTTCAAATGTTTAACAAAATTGTATCTCAAATAGGATCTATGTGTTTTTTTTTCTTCTGTCTTCTTCCTTTTCTTCTCTGTATTCACTTCCCTATTGGAATCCATTACACCGAAATCTCCCTGGTAGGCACCCAAGGCAGGAAGAATACCTGACCTCATTTGCATGGGAGGTGACACTGTTCTGTACTCCAAGTGAAACTGACTGGGAACTTCCCAGCTTGACCCTAATGTAAAATTCACAAGTGCTTATGCTGCAAGTTCAGCCAGAGAAATAAAATGTGAATCTTTGTCCCCTTCAGACCAGTAATTAGTAGAGGAATTCAATTTATAACTTCAGGGGGTTCCATGTAACTGTCAGCTTGCAGCAGGAGGCATCCCTGGTCCTCTATTTCACTCACAAGTGAACATGCAGGCTTTCATCTGCAGAAAAGAGCTTTGTTCGCTGGTACTCTTACTTGTTAAGCTACCTTCCGGTGTGTACAACAGAATGATTTGACTCACGCCAGCACACTTCTTTTTATGTATCTAGGGGAGTTACTATAGCCTGTGGCACTTCCTAAAATTTCTCCTAAAGTTCTACTTATGTTATGTATCTATAGATATTTAGATCTATATGTTAATGGATTTATAAGTAAGCTTTCTAAATACCTCCTCCATAAAAATTCCTAAGCACAGAAGCATTTTGACAAATTCTTACTTTCCATTGTACATGATGAATTATATTTTACATAAGTTCCATGGAAATCAACTCAGTCTTTGTTAATGTAGAGGTATCATAGATATCAACTTCAGAACGAAACCTTCAGAACTAAAATGGTTTCTCTCCCTCCTGCCCTCTATCCCTCCCTATCTTCCATCTACAGAGAAGCATCAGTCAGACCATCAAACCTCAGAGGGAAGGTAGGGGAGGGTGGGGGTAAGGGGGAGAGATCAACCAAAGGACGAATATGCTAACATATAGGCCTAACCAATGGACACAGACAACAGGGGGGTGAGGGCATGAGTGGGGGGTAATGGGGGGTAATGTGAAGATAAGGACACATATGTAATAACTTAATCAATAATAAAAAAGATTAAAAAATAAGCATCTATTGAGTGCCTCCCACAGGTACTTTCCTATGTGATGGGGATACAGCAGCAAATAAAAAAGACAAAAATCCCTTCCCTCCTGGGGCTTACGTTTTCTTAGGTAGAGGCAGACCCTAAAGCAATCAGTAGCACATAAAGTGTATCAGATGGAGAGAAGTGCCATTAAAAATAAAGCTGGAACAGAGGAGCAGGAAGTGTGTGGAGCAGATCAGATGTGGGAAAAGGGCTGAATCTTTTAAATGGGTATTGATGGCTTTATTGGGAAGCTGACTCTTGAGCAAAGAACTCAAGGACATGAAGGAGTAACCCAAGTGGAAAAAGTGCCCTGACTTTGAGATGGGAGCTTTGTTGGTGTAATTAAAGAACAGAAAAGAGGCAGCTATGACTAGAGCAGAATGGGTTAAGGAGATAAGGTCAAGGTGAGTAGCAGATCATGGAGAGCCAGCAGACTGTGGTAAAGACTTTGGCTTTTTTCTCCTGGGTGAGATGGAAATCAATTGGCCAGTTATTAGAAGTATTACATAATCTGGTTTCTGTTATAAAAGGGTATTATGTGGGTTAAGTACTAATATACTGTGGGGCAATGGTGCTCAATCAGGGTGAATTTGTCCCTCAGGTACTTGGCAATATCTGGAGACATTTTTATTTGTCACAACTCAAGGAGGGGTGGTAGAGTGTGTTCTATTGGCATTTAGTGTATAGAGGCCAGGGATACTGCTAAACATCTTACCGTGCACACGACAGCCTCCCATAATAAAAGAGTTGTCTAACCAAAATGTCAATAGTGCTGCAATTGAGAGACTCTGGTATAGGTAGAAAGGTCAGAGGCATAAAAACCAGTTAAGAATATATGGCAAAATATGATGGTTGCCTGGTGGACTAGGATGTTAACAGAGGAATGATCTGGATATGTATTGAAAGCACAGACAAAAACTCACTGCTGAACAGGATGTGGGGTATGAGAACAAGACAGGTACCAAGGGCAATTCCAAGGTTTTTGGTCTGAAAATTTGAAGAATGGATTTACATTTTACTGAGACAGGACAATTGTGGAAAGAGACAGTGTTTGAGATTGACATGTCTATTAAGCATTTAGGTGGCACCTTAATGTCTATAAGAAATTCAAGTAGACAATTGCATTTATAACTTTGGACTTTGAGTTAGAGATCTGGCTAGAGCAGCGGTTCTCAACCTGTGGGTCGCGACTCCTTTGGGGGTCGAACTACCCTTTCACAGGGGTCGCCTAAGACCATCAGAAAACACATATATAATTACATATTGTTTTTGTGATTAATCACTATGCTTTAATTATATTCAATTTGTAACAATGAAATTGGGGGTCACGACAACATGAGGAACTATATTAAAGGGTCGCGGCATTAGGAAGGTTGAGAACCACTGGACTAGAGAAATCCATTTGCCAGCATGTCAGGATGGTTAGGACCACCACAGCTGTGAGAGCAGGTAGGAAAGAATAGGAGCGAGGAGGGATGGATCCAATGTTCAGTGGTTATAGAGATTAGGAGCCACGAAAGCCTGCTGGTTGACAAGAAGCAACTGAGGTACTAAGAAAATAGGTATATGTTCCAGGCATCTAATGAATAGAACTTTTCAAAGAGGGCAGATGATAAATTGTGGTAAATCCTGTTAGATGAGGACTGAGAATTGACCATTAATTGGCACTTGACAAGAGCAAAGGCCTGATAGGTATGTTCAAGAGCAAGTGCGGGTGGGACTGGGGTTCCCAGTGGAGAGGGTTCTGGGAATAGGGGGAGAATTGTTTGTGTTCTGCTAGTGCTCACCTCTGGATAAGAGCCGTTTCTGTGAACTAATGGCATCCTTACCTCACAGATCTGTCCCTGTCCCACAGCATGTCAGGGGGAGATGTGGAACTTGCCTTTTTCTTTGATTTCCACTAGAAAACCCAAACCTGAAACAGATAAATAAGAACGCTCTCCACCAGTTAACCTGAATTTACTGAGAGCTATGTGTGAACGCCAGAGTATTACATTGCAAAAACCAAACAAGAAAGCAACCTTAAACTGTAATATTGGAGCCTCTTTTTCTTAGAATTCCCTTTGCCTTTCTATCATAAACTCTTCAATATCCCTTTTCTTCAATCTTCCCAAGTTCTTTTTCATTTCTAATGCTGAATAGTTTAACTTTCTCTGCTGTGGCATCGTCTCATGCCAGCTTATCTGTAAGGATTTGAGTTTCCACACCAAGTAGTTTATCAGAATAGTTCCCTATGAGGAATTCTGATGCTCACTATTAGGGCAATACATTTATTCTCTTGTTACACAAGGATATTTCTTTAATGTTTTTAAGTCAAAATATGCAGCCAGTGTACCTGTGGGAGGATGTATTTTTAAATCTCTAACTTAGGGAATTAAGAGTATT